TTCTCCCTCTTGACTCTCTTAATGCCATGTGCTGCCTTAGTTACTTGGTGTATGTGTTTTACATGGTTTCAAGTTTTATTTATCTGTTTGTTGGGACCATGAGGAGAGATGAGTGGAAGACTCCCTGTCTTAGAGTAATCTTCTCTTTTTGCTAGAGTTTATCCACATCTTGAATTTTGTCTATTGAACTTCTGGGAGCATACTATTTGAAGTACAAAGCCTCTTAAAGAGATAAATGTTATCCTGCATAAGTTTAGCAGAAATATTTCCAACACGGACATCAGAACTGATAGAAAAGGCCGCTTCGGAAGAGGGGAAACTGTACAAGCCCTGGTTTCCAGCTTGAGCAGAGCTGGTGAATCAGATTCTGTACAATGGTTTCTGGTCTCTCCTTTAAGCCATTTTATACAGAATTGGTGTTTACATGCATTCAAGTGCTGCAGTGTTTTACAACAAATGATGTCCTCTGCCTGGATACGGTGCCATTTTGATGAGCTATTTTCAGTCAACAATGCTGCCTTTTTCATTATGCCTTGAGCCTAACCAACATGCAGCAGAACAGTTTCCTCTAAGTAGAATGCTCCATGTGATAGATCCCAAGTTACAGTCACCTGTAGTGTTTGTTTAGAAGCAGCTAAGCTTTTAGATACAGTTTGTATGATTCCCTGAGGCTTTACCTGTGGGAAGTTTGGTTTCCCAATGGTGGAACCTTTACAAAATAGGGCATATCATGAGATATTAGGCCATGGAGAGTGCTTTCTGTTGTTTTGATATCATTCTCATGGTACAAGTTACACATACGCAAGAGTGAGATGTGATGTGTGCCTTTCCATGTTATCTGTGTCCTTCACTGCTCAGGAGAGCTGAGCCAATGACAGTGTCAGGCTTCCAGCCTCGTAAGCTGTGATGTATATGAACCTGCTTTCTTTATACACTCTCCTACTTCAGGTATTGTGCTATGGTAATCAATAATAGATCCATATGAAGGCATTTAGATTTAATTAATTGTGTCCCTTCTAAACTTAACTGAAACTAATAATTAAAAGCATGCTCTATTTTCTGATACATACAACTTTCATGAAGCTTCATGCATGCACCCACAATTTCATTATAGATACAAGTGCACAAAAATACATACACACATAAATGCACATAAGCTGTGGGGCACCAACATTTTCTGCTCTGCATTCTTTTTTTTTTTCAAGGTAATACAGGTTTAAAAACGTCTACATTCTGTAAAGTTTTGCTGCATAGGCACAAAGGCTGAATTCAATTCCCAGCACCTGCATAAAAATCTGGGAGTTGTAGAACACAGTTAAAATCCCAGAGGCAAGAAGGCAAAGACAGCTGGATCCCTGGGGCTCACTGACAATCACCTAGCCTATCAGGCAGTTCCCAAGTCAGTGAGAGACACTGTCTCAAAAACACAAGGTAGATAGTTCCTGAAGAAGAACATCTCGGGTAGGTACTCCTCTGGGGTTTACACAGAGAGAGAGAGAGAGAGAGAGAGAGAGAGAGAGAGAGAGAGAGAGAGAGAGAGAGCGCCTCATGTTCTTTCTTATGTTTTAATATTTGTGCTTTTGTTGCTTCAGTCTTCTGATATAGAATAATAATTTACATACTAATCATCATGTTATCAAAACTTCTCTTATACTCCTCAGAGGAAAGAGCTTCCTCCCGACAATGTTCATTATATCTAATGGCACTGCATCTATGTTTCAAATCCTGGTTACCTGAATATGAATTGCTATTAGTCCCTCTTAAACCCAGTGAGCTATTATTCATGTGTAATGTCTACCCTAGGTAGAAGCAGTAGTGTTCCAGCCCACAGAAGATGCATTCTGAGACCCACAGGGCATACATGAAACTGCAGATAGCATCATATATTAATCCTACATGAAAATTTTATGTACACATGTACTTATGATGAAGTTTAATTTAAGACTTAGGAACACAAGGAACACAAATAGATTAATAACTAATACAAAATTATGAAGTTATGGTGTGATGAAACATTGTGCTTTGGAACTTTTATTAAGTAAAATGAAGTTTATTTGAATACAACAAATGGCTACAAGCAACTACCAAGTGGGCAGGCTATACAACAGTGGTTCTCAATCTTCCTAATGTTGAGGCCCTTCAACACAGTTCCTCATGTCATGGTGACCCCCAACCATAAAATTATTTTCATTGCTACCACATAACTGTAATTTTGCTACTATTCTGATTTGTAATGTAAATATCTGTGTTTTCTGACGGTCTGACATGACCCCTGTGAAAGGGTCATCCTACTCCCAAAGGGGTTGCAACCTATAGGTTGAGAACTGCTGCTATACAATATGCTACACTGACCAAAGAATGACTCACATCCCAGGCAGGATGGAATGGGATACATGTGATTTCATTGTGCTACCCAGAAGAATATATTATTTAAAGACCATGAATTACCTATATCTGAAGTTATCTATTAATTATATTTAGAATGTTATTGATCTTGGGTAATTGAGACCACAGCAAGCAAAACTTCAGGTGAGAGTGGGCTGCTATATACTCCATTATGTTTTGAGAAATAGGTGTTGGTTATTAAAGTACTGAGTGCACACTGGTGTTCCAAATGCAGCTTACAGTCCATGTAGACCAAGCCACGGTGGAACTCAGAGTTCCACCTGCCTCTGCCTCCTACTCTGCTGAGATGAAAGGCATGTGCCATCATACCTGACTCAAATTTATATTCTAAGCATGTAGTTTATAGGATTTTGTACTTTTCCATGAAATAACTAATTACACAGCTTATGATTTCCTGAACTAGATGCAAAAGTACAATTAGATGGATACATTAATAATAACATCATCAGTTTTATCAGATACAATATCAAGGACTGTTTATCCCTTCACCCTCTAATCCAAATGTATAAAGCATTCAGAAGGCCTGCAGTGTTTACACTGTGATTTACATCAGCTCCAAAGTCTATTTACTTGTTACATACAATAGACATCTTTCTATCACTGGAATGACTGTGATTGAGCATCATTCATTCCCCATGCAGCATCCCCTTCATTCCCCCATGAAGCATGCAGCACTGCCAGGGCCTTACATGCAGCACCATGCACCTCCTGCATGTACTTGCTGGGCTCTTGTCAAGTACCTCTCTCCCTAGAACCAAAATCTGCTATAGAAAAAAAAAGTGTCTGTTTTAAGTGTCCACATACTACCGATAATAGCATCTTTTTAAAATTAGTTTGGGCTCTGTAAAAATATGAACAATGGGTGGTTATTAATTAATAAGCATGTGTGTGTACATAAAACACCCTCTACAGTGTATGCTAATATCACCATGATGCTCTTACCATGATCTTGAGAACAATGATGTCCAAGCATTACAACATGAACCCTGGAGCAACATTAATTCTTATTCTTAAAATATGCTAACTGATTTTTAATAAGGTCCTTATTTAGGATTCTGCCAAAAGTGTACTTGTAGCTAGTGTCTGGTTAGAAAGAAAAGTAGACTTGTTTCTTTTACAGATAACTTGTGCAGGTAGTCAATGTCTCAAAAAACAATATACTCTGAATGGAGAGGCTGAACCCATGTGAAGTTCTGTTAACCTGGGACTGTGTGGATATTGGGTTTTTATTTTATTAATTTGTGATAGATGATCTGTGGAATGGATAAATGAGTTTATTTGGACAAAGAAATTTCAGCCAGGTCCTTGCTACCCCTTTGCGAGACTGAAGGGTTTTCAGCATTGCCTCATGTTGGTCAAGGGTTCTCTCTGTGTTTTCACAGAGAATTAAGAAGCGTGTAATCCTGAGGAGCATCACTTTCACATGGATCTGTAGAGGGAATTCAGTATAGCAAGCCCCAAATATTTTATTTACTAAGTATTTGTCTCATTTTCAAAATTTGTCACAAAAATGGCACTTAAATAATATTTAAATGTTAAGATATATTAAGTGTAAAATTTTTAAAAACGTATTAAGAAAAAAAGGAGCCATGAAATTTTCAAAGGCTTATGTGACTTACTAAAATATTATTCAAAATGCATATGAATTTTATAGTAGACAATAATGCAGTTATGTGCAGGCTGATGTAAAAGTACTGACATTCTAAAGGTTTGGAGAAGAGCTCATATATGAACCACCAGAGAAATCCTAAACAAATACTTGAGCAGGCTTCCTTGAAGGGTGGTAAAATGTGGGCAACAAATGACAGAGAGAGAACATTAAAGGAATACCAGATCAACGAATAGATGTGGAAATACTAAGGCATTTTGTGAGCTGCTGGATATTTAGAGTTGGTTACAAGAAATGGGACTACATTAAGGTGGAGAGTCCAAAGCCAAACCATGGAACTGAACTAAGAGGGGTGCCTTCCTTGTGCAGGCAGAGGACCAGTGAATGGCAGTCCACAGCTATCTATCTCTCTAAGTCATCCTCCTCCATGGCAGAGGGGCAAAGACACTATATTTGCTATACATGCATAGTCCATCTCGTTCTCAATTACATCACCTACACCAGCAAAAGCAGTAGCAGAAAGTAAGCAATAAATAGCAACGTGGTAATGCACCGACCCACATTTTAGTCCTATGACAATCATGACAAATATTTCACATTTGTGGTTAAGGTAAGTAATGCCCATCATTTTTCTTTCCCAGTTTAAAAGAAAGAGGTAATTGTACTATACCACACACTGGAAACCATTAGAAGGAAATGAGAAGCTTGGCGAGTGTTTAGCTTGAAGCATGGTCACTAAGAGGCTTGTGGTGTAACTTCCTAAAAGACACATGGCCAGCGACACAAACAGAGTGAGGGCTTTTACTACTTTTCTGGTGTAAGCCATCCCGATCTGTGGGGAGGAAGCCAAAAACACATCTGCAGTATGGAACGGTACTATAAACACATGAGGATTTGAATATCCAGGGTTACCAGAAGACTGTCCAAATTACAAATGTCAAATACCTGGGGGTTCCTTTTCATTGGAATTGTTGGCCACTCTTACCTCGGACAACAAGGTCAGCCGAAGCTGAAGAATTGTCCACGATGGTCTGCGCTGTGCATGTGTATCTTCCTGCATGCTTCAGCTGGGCATTTCGGATGAGCAGTTCCCCATTGGCATCGAGCTATGAGCAAAAGCAGGAATGTTCAGTCAGTGCGTGCCCATGAACCACACAGCATTTAGGATGTGGAGGTAGACTGCTTTCTCCTACTAGGAAGCATCTGGACTAGACCTGCCAAGTGCATGTCTTCGTTCAGCTTCTGCTCGAGCCTCAGCTTTCCAATTGGAAACTAAAGAAACAGAACTCCAGCCCTTTGGGGCTCCACTGTCCTTGGCATTCCATCAAAGAGCAACAGCGAAGAGAAGCCAGGGATGGACTCAGTTGATCAGTAGCTTTTCATGTTTTATTTTTGACATTATAATATAATTATAACATTACCCCTATCATTCTTCCCTCTGTGCCCTCCCATGTGCCCCTCCCCACTCTCCTCCATATTCATGGCCTCTTTTTTTAATCACTAATTTTTATTGCTTGCACATGTGTATTTACATATATATTCCTAAATATAACCTATTCAGTTCATATAGTGTTACTTGGTACTTTGAATAAAAAAAAAAGTCAGCGTCTAAGAATCTTAGTGCTATCAATGTGAGTAAATAAATGTTTCATGACTGAGAACTGTTAATTTAGTTTTGCAAAGCTGAGTAAATTGACCAAATTCAAGTTGTTCCATGGTTCATCTTACAAAGATGCTAAAAACTTATAGAACTATCAAAATGGCAAAATGGATGCTGATTCTACTATAATGTAACTTGGCATCAAATTATAATCTACACAAGGATTTGGGTCTTGTTCAAGACTATTCCCAGTATTAAGAACACACACACACACACACACACACACACTGGGAATACATGTGTGTGTGTATGTATGTATGTATGTATGTATGCATGTATGTTTGCATGTATGTTTGCATGTATGTATGTATGTATGTATGTATGTATGTATGTATGTATGTATGTATGTTCTGCTTGGCCATAGGCTCTACCATGTGCTGAGTTCTCTGCTGGACTCATCGTGAAACATTTGTACTCTTTATGTGGCTGACAAGGTGGAGAGTCAAACCTACCAACATCCTGGCCACATTTTTATCACGCCCAGTAGAAGCTTAAACTTCAGCCAATTAAGAATCAGCTCTGTCTTAAAAACTAGAGCCTGAGTAGGCAGTGACAGGCTTGTGTAAGGATTTTAAGAACATCAACATGCAGACTGGCTGCTCTCTATCTGTTGAAGGCACGGTGCTGAAACTCCACAGAGGGAAGGCAGAGGGAAGATATCCATATCCTTTCTGGTATACTGCGCATGTATAAAATATTTTCCGACATTTTTAAGGGCAGCTAACACTTTCCAGCCTCAGGAGAGGCCAGGGCTCATGGTGGTTGAGAGAACGCTTACAAAGCAAGCGAAGGTCATGGGTCTCAGCACATTCTAGCCACAAATTAGATGCAAATGCTTGCTTATTTTCACAAAAAGCCACAGCTTGGCCGAATCACAAATTCCATCCTTCAGATGAGGAGAGTTGAATCACATCCTGGAAACTGTGACAGCAAAACTCGGGGATATTCCAGCGTGTATATGTGGTTGACCACTTAGAAGTCTCCCAAATGTAAGTCTAAAGACTTTCAACATACAAATGCCCACCCCTGGCTTCCTCCTCCACCATACACCAACTGCAAAATAATTACTGCAATAAGTAAAGAAAAATTAAAATATTACTAAGCTGTATGAACAAATCGACTCATAAAGAACACCCCCCAAAACACGGTTAACACAAAGCATGTTTTGTTCTTTTGAAATAGACAAGGCTGAAAAAAGGCATGTCATTTAAAGCATGTAGTCAGTAAACAGAAATTATTAAATATGTCTAATAAATGTGCTATCCACGAAGCAAGACTTTTCTTTGCTCTTGGCTTGCTAGTCAGCAGCTACAGCAGGCACATCACAGGCAGCCTCACATGCTGACAGCATCCACAGGCTCCTCTAACAGAGGAAGGTACACCACAGGCAGCCTCACATGCTAACAGCATCCACAGGCTCCTCTAACAGCAGCAGGCACATCACAGGCAGCCTCACATGCTGACAGCATCCACAGGCTCCTCTAACAGCAGGAGTTCAGTAGGAGCTGTGGGGTGACTCTAGAGCTGCTGAAAGGCTTTGCATGCACAGACACACTCTGAGCTGGAACCCTGTAAGAAAGATACAACTTTTGATCAACCCCAAGGCAATCTTTTCATTGCCGGGTCTAGCTTCCTTCTTTCATATGTAGAAGTTGGAAATCACAGATACTATATTAAGTTACTTTCCTTTTTAAGTTTAAAACATGTGAAGTGGCAAAACAGTACAGTTACATCCCACCCCGACTGATTTCACTCATGTAGTGAACTTCTCGCTGTCACTCTTTTGTCTCACTCTTTAGCTGCCTGGTGTCTTTTCTACTAATATCCCTCTGTCTAGTGCTGAGCGCTGAGAATACTGGCATCATGATGATCACACAACTTAACACCCCCGAAACTTTTTAATGACAGTGCCTTGAATCTCAAAGGAAGGGCCATCCTCTTCAATGAACACAAACTATTTTTTCACACATACAGCTAACACCAGTTCTCTCATATTCAATATTTAAATTGATGCTGGTGTTAATAATGCTTCATCTTAATGACCTGAGTCTAACTTTTTTAATATTAAAAAACTCAGTAAGGCATACCATCAAACATTTAAAAACTCACATATGTAAGGGGAGCTGTAATTACTAAGAGATCATTTTGGGGGCTGCCTGGAAATGTTTGCACAAACTAGACTGATGACTGGAGAATTCAGCTTTGACCAGCTGGCCCATTTTGAAGGAAAACACACAGTGAGAATTTTGTTTGGGCTTCCCTGCTAACCATTTTTAACCAGGAGCAGTATACCAAAGCTCTGAATCCCATGGCTTTGTTTTAGAGTTGAGGACAACTTGGATATGACTTGATTCATGTGGTCTCCACTGGTTCCTGGTGGCCTCAGAGTTCTCAGCATCTCCATAGGAAGGAATGAGAGAAGCCCTCTAGTAGTGTTCTTTGCCATTCAGTAACCTACACACACACACACACACACACACACACACACACACACACACACACACATACACACCATTTTCCTAAGTACAACCTTACTACCTTTATTGTATATTGTTGTTCTTAATTATATTTTCTTGGGAAAAGTAATTCCGCTAAAAAAATTTAAAGAGTGTGTGTGAGTGTGTGTGTGTGTGTGTGTGTGTGTGTGTGTGTGTGTGTGTGTGTTTGATCCTTAGAGATCAAAAAGTAAAATTGACAAATATGGAGCATATACCTGAACCCAGTACTGGAGCTTTCTTCCCAGCTAGCGTCACCTACAGGCACCATGCTGGTGAGAGACACTGTCTCAAAAAAAAAAAAAATTAAATAAAACAGTTTATGGTGCCTGAGGAAAGACACCCAAAGTTGTTCTCTACACTGTACAAGCATACACTATACATGAGTACATGCAGCTATACTATAGACAATCCCCTCCACACACATGCATACAGTATACATGAGTACATGTAGCTATACTATAGACAATCCCTCCACACACATGCATTCCCCAACACATTAAAAAAAAACCCAAAAATAAAAACAACAAAGTCTTATTGCTGGATGTGCTTAATTTGATTCGTTAAGACTATCATCAGCCAATGTTTAGGGACCTGACTACTGTGATTTGCTAAGAAGCAGCATGGGCTGTTGTAGTCTCTGCTTCGTGATTTCAGTTTTTTAAAGGAGCTAGTTCAGCTCTAAAGCACAGTTTTCTCATTGTTTGCTGCCAGAAAAAAAAATAGCAAAACAACAAGAGCAGCAGCGAAACCAGCAGCGGTTATGTGAGCCGACAGCTGGTGGAGTGTAACGTTACGGTGATTAGCTGCATCGTGCTTCCCCAGATGTGCTAAGGTTCCGATCTCCAACTCTGTTTTTGAATTGCACTGGCCTAGTCTGGTTCCCTCTGCTATAACTTAACTCTAACCTTCCTCGGGATGATTTTCAAACCGCCTTTATTGACTCCATGGTTTTGCAATAGCTCTGGAAACCTTCATTTGCTTATTCAACAGAAATCAGAGACAGTGACATTTAAAACAATAAAGAAATCTGCATTTTTGCTTGCATTTAATTCTTCTCTTTCTGTTCTCTTGATTGTCTAGCAGTACAGTGCTTTGTCAGGATCAATACTATGTTTCTTTTCTAGTGTAAAAAGTTGTTTCTCAAATCCAAATACTTTTTAGTGCCCTGTTTCACATATTTCAGTTCCTTTTTTAAAAGAAAAAGAAAACTGCCTTAGAGAAAGAAATCTATTTTCTCATGGTATGGTGTGATAATCACAGCCAACATACATTCTCACTCCTGCAAACACACAGACAGCCAATGCACATCCTCACACCTGCTAACACACAGACAGCCAACGCACATCCTCACACCTGCTAACACACAGACAGCCAACACACATCCTCACACCTGTAACACTGGCAGCCAATGCACATAATCACACCTGTAACACTGACAGTCAATGCACATCCTCACACCTGCCAACACACAGACAGCCAATGCACATCCCCACACCTGTAACACTGGCAGCCAATGCACATCCTCACACCTGTAACACTGACAGTCAATTCACATCCTCACACCTGCAAACACACAGACAGCCAATGCACATCCTCACACCTGCAACACACAGACAGCCAATGCACATCCTCACACCTGTAACACTGACAGTCTATTCACATCCTCACACCTGCAAACACAGACAGCCAATGCACATCCTCACACCTGCAACACACAGACAGCCAATGCACATCCTCACACCTGTAACACTGACAGTCTATTCACATCCTCACACCAGCTCACACATAGACAGCCAATGCACATCCTCACACCTGCTCACACACAGACAGCCAATGCACATCTTCACACCTGCTAATACACAGACAGTCAACGCATATCCTCACACCTGCAAGCACACAGATAAAAACTCACTCCCTGCAAAACTGAAGGAGATGTCCTTGGGTCACC